ACCCTCCAAAATGGGCACATAGACCTGTACCAAGATCAACGCTTCAGCTTGTTGTTGTTTCAGGCAGAGGATTACTACCTTCCCGCTGACAGGCTTCAAATCAATAATTCTATCAGCGAGGTTGAATCCTTCCAGAACACCAACATTGGCATGAGCGCAAGTCGTGATATCGATGTCTGAGTAGAATAGCATCCATCCGATGAAGTTCAGAAGTCCAGAGCACTGGCGCCTCATTGATGAGGTCTGACAATGTCAAGTTGGTACTACATTGTCTCATTAACTAACTCTTGTTCTTTCTCTCTGAGTGAGGATATGTTCCAATTTCCCAATGTACGTTCCTGCAAAGCCTTTTCTGACGTTGTATTATGGCATCGCGCTATCTGCCTCCTCCATTCAGAACGGGGAGGGACTCCGTTGCTGACTGGTAGCTTCGTCGTCTTTCCATCGGTCTTCGTCAGCCGTTGCTGTGCTGCTGCGCCCTTTGCTAGCAGAGGGCGATGAGCACATGTTCTGAGCGCGGACTTTTCGCAGTCTGCCTCAGTCCCCCAACGGTGTGTGCGACCATTGATAACCCGGGCGATGACCGAGCCGGTATAGTTTTCGATGGCGTTAATATCATGAGTGGCAGATAGCTTAGTTTAACGGAAACTTTGGCCCACTTTCCAACCATACTTTTTTTCTCAACCGGGCATTGTAGCGGCAAAGGCGAAGCTCCAGTAGGAGCTTACTATCGAAAGTTGGAACATGTCCTCACTAATAGGGAAAGACCAGGAACTAGATGATAAGGTCACTCGGTATAGTTGGACTATCGCTATCAAAGTGCCAAGGCTTTGAAATTCGAACATCTCCGGATGGATTCTATTTTAGTCAGATGTCGACACGACGTCTCGTACTCAGGCCAGAGATGATCTTCTGCCTGGTTGAATGGAAGAGTGACAGCAGCAGCCGACGTGTGGCAACACTATCTGGTGTATACGTGTTTTGTTGTCGTAGGAAAAGGCTATGACCGGATCCCACCCAACAATCCGTAGTCATGCTTTCGTGCATACGGGATTGATGGTCAGTTGCTAAGGGCCATCCAGTCACTGTATTCTGATTGCAGGTGCTGCGTTAGAGTAAATGGCGTTAAGTCGAAACCATTCAACGTTCGCACTAGTCTCCCTCAAGACTGCGCTCTGTCCCGTCTCCTGTTTGTGTTATGCATAGATGGAGTATTACGGCAATAAGTACATCGGTGCAGGAGATGTGGAGACGATAATGTTGCTGTTTGCCGACGACTTTATTTCATTAGCATCTTTCTGGAACTGATCTACAGTGCCCTCTAAAAAGTTCGCAGTGGGGTGCGAACGCATCTAAAACAAAAGCCTAGTGCTTTCTCATTCTGCTGCCAATTGCTCTCTTCAGATTAACGGAAAGACAGTACTGCAAGTGGAGAAGTTGAAGTACCTTGGAGTCGTGTTTACTGGTGATGGAAAATGGAGAAAGAGATCGACCGGTGTGTTGATGTACCAGTTCAATTCTACCTGCAGTAGCCATAACCATTGTAAATAAACCAGAGCTGAGTCTGAAGACTAAGCTCTCGGTATTCAAGTCGATCTTCGTACCTATACTTATCTACGGTCATGAGGGGGGCCATTACTGAAATACTTCGACTATGGGCTTTCTTGCACGCTGGCCCTTACGCATTTCGACATGGCCCGGAATAAAGAAATCTGCAAGAGCGTTGGTGTAGAGGCGCTGCTTCTTCAGACCGAGAAGTCACAAAGGGTTTGGGCACGTGTTGCGAATTCCTCCAGAAACGAAGACGAAGCAGCTGATTTTTACGAGCAGAGCAGCAGAAGGGTCGAGAGACGGCAAAGACCAACCTGATGCAGACCTGTGAATGAGGTATGCCTCTAGACTTCGGTTATCTTCTGCCAAAGATACGACTATGGCACTCAGGAATGTTGAGAGAACTGTTTGACGCGTCGGCCTGTGTGAACAGTATCGAAAAGCGGTCATAGATGATGGTGAAATACAGTGTATCTGTAACGGATCAACAGGTTCACTTCGGCTGAACCACAGCTTTACACGTATTTACTTTTTAAACATACGGAAAACGACTATGACCATATTTTTGAGCAACAATTGATCCTATTGAAACTAATTGAAGAGCTAGTATTTCAGCGAATAGCGCCATAGTCAGGCGGACTGCAGGCGTGAACGTTTCGACGCGACTTATCACAACAAGCATTTACACAAATACAAAATGAACAGCAAACCAAAGCTCATTCAATGAGTTTGAAATGTGACAATAGCGCTCTAAGTACATTGCAAAACGAGACATGAAACAGAACTAATTTATAAACAGTTTGATAGAGCATAATTTAAGTCGGCTTCACTGGACTGTGGGGCTGAGTTTCATAGTGATCGACGAGACTTTTTGGGTTATTTGAAAACAACGTGCTTTCGCTGCAGGACTGAGCTCGGCAAAAGTTTTGCAAAATTCGCTGTCCCACGTGACGGACATGATCGAGAACAGAATGCAACTGACATTGGCCGAAACTAGCGGCACATAAAGGCACAAACCCTGTGATGCAAGCATTTCTACCATCTGGCTACCAAAGTCGAAGAATATGATTTTCTGGCAGATGCACGAGGTTTGTAGAATCAGAATAGATTTTACGTTTCTTCTCTCGGGTTTGCAGGTGGGTAGACACCGTGGAAATCTAGACCCTCAACTTCTTAAGAATGGTAACAGTTTTACGCAAAAATGCGCAGCATCACGAACACGCAGGCGTTCACGGCGCCGGTGTACCATTTGTACGCCGTTATTGTTGCGATCCTTGAGTCTACGTCATGGTAGGCAATCGAGAAGTTGGTCAAGTAGTGAAGTAGGATGCAACTATCGGTGGCGGACGGGATGCTGCTTAAAACGCCGAACGCCCAGTCGATCAGGATGATTGCAATGACGGTACGCTTGGTGAACATTCTCCCATATGAGTCCTTGTACTGAAGAGCAATGAAACGATTACAGCAGATACTCAGCAAGTGGACAAAGCAACTGAAGTACGCCGTGCTGAAGATCGCACTCAAAATTGCATCCTTTCTGTCCGCCAGCATTTCATTGTAGTACGCTGAATGAGCGACGTAGGATCAACGACATTTTGCTATCACTGCACATTCACGACACGAAGATCAGATAACAAGGAACGGAACGAAGCGACGGGCTCAGTAGAACAACACATGATATCGCAAGGTTCACGACCAGTACGGGAGTGCTCAACAAGATGATCACCGACGACACCACTGTGCCTTCCTGCATTCAGGAGGGGGGACCGGAAAGTCTTTGATGGCCAGTCACCGGTCTATTTTTTGAAGACAGTTAAGAAATCTATAGTGCGGCCACCACTGTTTTTCCGCGTGACTACGATCGGCTATGCTTCGATTTCACTGAATGATGTCAAATGCTTGAATGAATTCAACCAATATCCTAAAACGGGCCCACACATTTAGTTAGAAACATAGCGTATATAAACTAATAATAAGTTTTATGACATAATTGAGAATTAAAAATGCCCCGTTAATGTACCTCAAGTTAGTCGTTCTGTTCGATAATGATGCCAAGACATGGTCAGATGCCGCCGAACGCGTTCGCTGGTTGCAGATAGGTGGACAATCCTCAGATATGAGGGACAGCTGCGAAATATGCGGAGGACCCGAAGAACAAGCAGTCGCGGACAACGTGCTACGAGGGTGCGGCGAGCCAACTTCTGGCAAAGTTGGCTTCAGAAAATACGGCAAGACCCGATGACAGCATGGTGACCTGCCGAGTAAATGCTGCCATGAAATAAGCATGCTGTCAGCCCCAACAAGCCGCAGCCGGTCCCAAGCCCGGTTGACAAAGACAGGTTGGCTTCAGGCCGGCAGC